ATCTGACACCAACATAACCAAGATCCTTTGTTCCGCAGACAACCACTTCTTTTCCGGCCTCGAAGGCTGAGTGAAACCACTCGTACGGCCAAACAGATAGCTCAAATAGTCACGATACCCCATGGTATCTGTACTAATCCAAGAATGACCACTGTACTGAGCCACTCTAGAAGCAGACAAACTCAACAACTGAGCTAACCTCTTCTCAGACAACACATCCTTCACACCTCTCACCTTAGAGCTGATCTCAAGCCTTTCACCTTCCTTCGTCACAACCATGTGACGGTAAAACTCCTTCACCAAACTCGGGTAAGTCTCGGCCCTTATGGCGAGAAAACCATCTAGCAAACCTTGAAACTTAAGCAAATCCAACAAGGAACTTGAAAAAAATTCCGGGTCAAAAGCTTTACCTTCAAGAACAAGGTAGTGGGCATCCACCCATTCCGCTTTTCTAGCCAAGCTTGACCTTCTAGGCATGGTGAAAGATGATCCAAAGCTCAACAAACAAAGCCCACAACTTCTTCTTCTTCTACCACACTCTCGCGGCTCTCTCTCTCTCTCTCGCTGCTCTCTCTCTCTCTCGCGGCTGCTCTCGGCGACGCGGCACACAGCAGATCGGCGGCGGCGGCGGCGGTGCGACGAACTCTGGCAGTGGCGAGGCGGCGGTGCGACGGGCAGGTGGTGCTGGGCGACGGGGTGGGGTGGCTTCGGGTAGCTCACGGGTAGGGAGAAGGAAAAAGATGAAGAGAATTTGGGGGAAGAAATTAGGGATTTGGGTGAGATTGGGAAAAAAATGATTAAATTTGGGGATTTTGAACAAAGTGGAATTTAAGGTTTAAAAGGAATTAAAATGGGTTGGGTTTCAAGAAAGATAATTGGCTCAAGTGGTTTAGAGGTTGGGTAGAAAAGAAATTGGTTAGGGTTTGAAACTCAAAGGCTATAAAGAAACATTAGGCTCAACTTTTAGGCTACACAAGGAAAGATTTTGGTAGGGATTGCTATTTTTCCAAATCAAAGAATACTTGGAAAATTTAGGGAAAAGCTCAAGGAATTGTTGTAAAAACAACCAAGTCCAAAGCTGAAAGAATTGGGCTAAGCACAAGATAACTCAAGGATAGATGGCTACCACAAACAAGATGCCAACTAAAGAAAACACTTAGCAAGAAAAGAATCTACACTAAGCATCCAACGAAAAACAAGCAAGGGAAACAAGCCAAGGATTGCCAAACAAAGACAACTACGAAACACAAGATAGCACCCAAGGCAACAAAGAACACAAAGACAACTACGAAACACAAGATAGCACCCAAGGCAACAAAGAACACAAAGCTCTCAGGGACACAAGGATAGGCTCAAAACAAGGGTTACCTGCTAACTCCTCCTCCAACAGACCCTCCGACTCCGCCTGCGAACGCGCCATCACAAAAACTCTCCCCGGCGGCCTAGCTCCAACATCTCCACGACTCGAACTCCCTCCTGGTGCTCCTCCGACTCCCGGGGGTGGCGGCAACGCTCTCTGACCGACAAGCTGAGGACACTCCGCAACTCTATGACCAACAACCCCACAACGAAAACAGTTAAACGCCTGGCCATAGCAAACTTGACCCGGATGCACCTTCCCGCACTTGCGACAACCAACCGACTTAGCTTAAACCGGAGGCTCCATCCTAACTGGTCCTTGAGAAGAAGATGACACAACTCTAGCCGGAAAACTCGGTCGGGGCTTCTTGAAAGCAAAAGAACCACCACTCTCAACTCTCTTCCTAGCCAACTCAAGCGAACTCTTCTGAAGCTGCTGAACACGAAACAGATCCGCGGCACACAGATACGCATCCTTGAGGGAACTGGGTCTACTCACCGTCAACGCTTTTCGTGCCTCATAATTCAGACCGGCAACGAAACACTCAACCTTGGCAAGCTCTATAGGCACCAACACCCTCGCGAAGCGCGCCAGCTCTAGGAACTTCTTGTGGTACTCCACCACAGATAGAGGTCCTTGCTGCAGATGAAGGAACTCATCAAACATGGCGGCTCGCACATGCGCTGGGTAGAACCTTTCGCGCATTCTGTCCTTGAGCACGGTCCAATCAAACCCAGGCTCCTCAAGAAAGGCTGGACTCTCATGAACCCACCGCAGATCAGCTTCTTGGCAGAAGTAGAACGTTGCCAGTTCTACTCTCCTCTCTTCTGGACAACCCACCACGGTAAAAATCTTATCAAACACCCGTAGCCACTCTTCAAGGACTACAGGGTCTTCTTCACCAGCAAAGGAAGGCGGCCGATGCCCGGACACTAAACGACCCACATCGCGGTGCCCAACCGGAGGCGGAGGCGGCGCAGCTTGATTGTTGTTCAACAGAGCTTCACTGAGAGACTGCATCGTCTGCGTCAGCTGATGGAGGTTCTGGGCGAGCTGCTCGTTGGTCGGGGTCTCTGGGGAGCGGGCGCGAGGACGAGGAGGCATCGCACTTCTGCTACAACAACAAGGTTACCACAAAAAGCAAGCAAGCAAGACTGAAAACAACACACATCTCACCGCGCAACCTAGAGTCCTAAGCTTAACACTTAGCTTCTTAAGGTCGCTTAGAGGTCCCAAAACACACTTAAACACTTAGAAAGTCTAGACTCAACTCTTCCTAGGCTCTAAACCAAGGCTCAAAACCTAGGCTCTGATACCAACTGTAACACCCCCCAAAAACATGACCTAAAAACAAGTCTTAACACATGCAGATTAACAACAAAACACTAGCACAGTGGAAGATAAAAAGATAACTGGATAAAAGGAATCCAAAACGGGGTGTTATGCCACGTATACCACACTTGGCATACGCTACGGCGACAATCTGCAAGTGTATCACTATCCCAAAAACAACAAACTAGAACAATCTAAAGACATTGGCACACAGGCCTCAAAAACACTGTCTAAAGATACAGGTGCTAAGCTACCGGCTCTAGACATCGCGCTCGACTATGCATCACCTGAAAGATACAAAGATAAACATCGGGGCGACGCCCGGTCAGCGAAAGATGCTGGTAACCCACCAATACCGTTAAGTATCATAAATAGGTAGATATATAATATGAAAACGATTTTCGAAACAGAATACATATATATAAGTCAAAAGCCAAGATCAAAAGACAACACAAGACTCACCACTCACAAGGATAACACCGGGAACACGTCCCAACCACAAAGGTTAACCACACACGAGGATAAAGACTCACCCAACGGCAACACATGCCAAAACACCACAAGACTCCGTGACTACACACGTCATGAGAGAAGATCACACGACAACGGCTTCACAAGCCCTCGTGACATCACACATCACGAGTTGATATGCCTTCCTTATGACCTGTTCCAACCTTATGGCTACCCCCAACCTTGTACCTTCAAAGCCTACCATTACCTCGAGAAAACCCCTATAAAGCCAAGTCCAACCTTATTCCGCCAGGACCGTCGTCCCCCACCTATAACCACCAACGAAAACCCACCAATTCACGGCAACACATGCCCGGATAACACAATGTTATCCCCCAATCACGTGGACTCAGCCACAACTCCATAATCACGTCACGGACACCACGAGGACCGCTGCAATACCTTGGTGACTAGCGTCACATACCACTAATCGTGCAATCCAGGTAGAGCCACACACGCACCACCACTCACACGAAACAAGCAACGGATTGCAAAAGAGGTATGAAACATACTCAATCAAGAGACGGGTCACCACCCAACGACAACAACGACGCTAGCATTAAGATAATAACTAGCAAGCTCAACAACGGGGAAACTCAAGATAGTTCCGAGGAACACACAAGACACCACACGGTTCAACGAAACACAATGTTGAACACTTAGCACGATTCGCAAAACCAAAGATCTTACATGGATACCTACCATAAAGCTCTAGACCTACGAAACATCAAGAAGACGCTCAAATAGTTCCACAAAAGAACATCGGGAGGCCAAAAGATCAAAGACCGAGACAAACAAATCACGGGGAACAAATCCCATCTCAACACCATTGTGTTCCCCGCGGGTGGACCCACGGGTAGTGCCCCACCCGTGGTCCCGCCCGCGGGTACAACACCCACAAGGCAACACGTTCCCGCGGGTAGGCCGGTGGGTGGTGCCCCGCCCGCCGTTCCGCCCGCGGGTACGCCCCTGTACCACAACAAATCCCTTCGGGTATTTTCTCCTCCAAACACAAATTCAAGTTCAAAGCACACCAAATCTCACCAAACACAACAAAATGACTTGAAGTAAGGAAAATGCCAAGCAATGGCACAAAGGAACCCTAAACACAAGCTCTAGATATGCAATATCACAAGATAATTGCATAAACTCTCACATTTCATAGCAAAACACAAATAGAAGCCAAGAAATCATATATAGGTAAGCAAAATAGGTTTTGTAGAGCATGGGTTACCTCTTGAAGACCAAAAGACTCTTCTTACACCACAACAAGCTCTCCACTAAGCTCACTAGCCAAACCCACTTCAAGATCAAACCAAAAGATCATAAAGATCCAACCTTTAAGAAAAAGACAACCAAGATGGAACCAAAAAGACTAGACAAGCTTAGATCTTACCCTTCTAGATGCCAAAATAGAGGAAAGATTGAATCTTGGAAGCAAAACTTGGAATCTTGACAAAGGCTTCTTTTGGCTTGAAGAACAAGCTACTCTTCTATTATAGAGAGAAGGTAGAGATATTTTCTAGGAAATGTAAGGGAATGAAATGAAGAAGTCTTCTAGGTTTAGGTTACAAAACTAGCTCTTGGTGAAAAGACAAGGATACCCTTACTAACTCTTAAAAAGTGTAAGGAACAAGGGAACTCCTCTCAAAGCACAAGGTACAACACAACTTAAAGATTGACTAGTCAAATACTAGTCCTTGAGTATCAAAAATCAGGATTTTAGGAATCAATTCCTCAAAAGAAATAGAATTAATTACTCAATTAATTCATGGTTTGGAGTGTGGATTTTGGGGTGTCACACCACAAGCCTTTGTTCCTCCATTGCACACATGGTTATCAACTCATTGATAGACCAGTCCACTTTATGTGTGATGTAGGAAATCTTAAAAGGATTGTACTCCTGAGGAAGGGTATCAAGTGCAAAAAACACCAAATAATCATCTGGTACAATGATTTCCGACTCCTTTAATTGAGCCGCAATATCCCTGAGTTGCATAATGTGTTCACGCGTTCCCTTGACAGTGGAAAGACGCAAATTTCTCATCTTCATGATTAGAGTCATTGCCAAAACTTTCTTTGATACAATGAAGTTATCATCGATAGCTTTGAGCAAGGGCTTAGCTTTCCTAATTTCCTCAAAGCAAAAACGAATTTTTCTGGAAATTCGTGACTTAATGAAGACCACACATAATCGATTGGAGTTCTCCCATCGTGCGCGAAGCTGCTTGGCTTCACCAGTGCTTTCTACAGTAACCTCAGGGGGTTCCTCATTGAGAACAGCGTAATCCAACTCTAATAATCTTAATTGCAGGAGAATAGCATCTTTCCACTCTTTGTAGTTATCTTCATTAAGGATTGGAACATTAATTTGTGTTTGGGTGACAGGATGAGTTGCTGGAAAGAATAATAATTAATGCTTGGTTAGAATTTTCGAGGCATAAAAAATTAGAGAGAAATACTGAAGTACATAATATTACCAATGTAAAATTATGCAACAAAATAAATTCGGATGCCATAAAAATTTCTTGTGGGCTAAATTTTTACGCATAATGAATTTACCAAAACTGAATGGTGGAAACGGAATGGGCGCGATTTGAGGTTTTTTTCCACCCTTAATGACAAAATTACCAAAACTATATGCCGATACATAATCACTGTGGGCAAATTATAATCATAGTATGGTATTTCATCCTAATTAACCCTACAAATATAACAAAATTGGTTGTGGGCTAAATTTTGCCATATCACACAGAGTTAACTACAATATTCTTGCCTTTAACTTTATGTGAGTAAAACTTAATATGTAATTTTGGAAAAATTAAAGATGTTGTGGCTACTCTTTAATTAACCAAAGAACATAATCACATTAGCAAGAAAACCTAATAAACAAACAGATTAAACCAAAACATGATAGACAATCCTTAGGTCACTACAAGAAAAATCACGAATCACGACGGAAACATCGCGACGGAACGTAATTCGTTGTCGATTCGTTACGGTTTTTGCGACAAAACGTGTTCCGTCGTGATTTTGCGTCGGAAATGGTCACGGAATATATTTCCGTAGTGATTTTTGGCGCAAAGTGAGAAAAAGCCCAGGAAATTTTGGCGCCCACATTTTGGTGACGGATTTTGCGACAGAATTAAGTTCTGTCACCACAATAGCGACGGAAAAGGAAACGACCGATGGTTCCGTCGTGGTTTTGCTACAGAATCGACGACGAGAATAAATTCTGTTGCGATATTTGGTGCAAAGTGAAAAATATTCCCACTTAATCTTTGCGCCAAGGGATTGACAACGGAGGTTGACGACGGAATTTGCGACAGGTATTTTTTCTGTCGCCAAAATATTTAACTTTTGAAGCAAAGTTTATTTTTTGTTACAAAATGAGATGACAAAATCAATTTTGTCGCATATATGTTGACACGTTGCAAACAGAAAATGAGACGCCCTACATGTCTGTCGCGCTATGGCAATGGAAATTAATTTTGTTGCAATGTTTGGCACAAAGGTAGATTTGACATTTGAGATTGGCGACGGAACTTGCGACGATCGTTCTTTCCGTCACTAAAATATTTAATATTTTAAGTAAATTTTTTTTTTTCGCTATAGAATTAGACGATGGAATCAATTTTGTTGCCAATATGTTAACACATTGGCGATAGAAAATGCGACACCCTACAAGTCCATCGCGCTATGGCGTCGGAATCTGCCACAGAATTTAATTTTGTTGCATTATTTGGCGCAATGATATATTTCACGTTTGAGTTTAGCGATGGAACTTGCGACGATCGTTTTTTCTGTCGCGGGAATATTTAAAATTTTAAGTGGGAAATTTTCAAAATTTAATATAAAATTTAAATTGCATATGAATTCATATGTTATAACTAAATTGCAAAACTTTTTAATTCGTCACATTTTACTTATTTTACTTTTTTTTTAATCAGTCCTGAAATGGGGTCTTCTTTCCAAAATTGAACATAACTATCATTTTATATTTTTCAATTTGCCCTTTTGACTTGACAATTAATGAGGTAAGTACAATTGTACTTAGGAAATTCTATTTGCACCACCCAGTTTGCTATTTACACCACCCCTTTAGATATAATAGCTTTATAGGTGGTGCAAATAGAAAAGTGTTATTTGCACCACCATCATTAAATGTGGTCAAAGATTAATATTTATTATCCTTTTTTCTTAACAATCAAAATATTAATTATTAAAAAAAAAATCTCGTCACCTTCTCCGGTGAGAAGGCAGCCCCTCGCCTTCTCACGGGAGAAGGTGACGGAGTCATCTTCTCTTCTTTTCTTTTTTTTTTTAAATTTATTTAATATTTGAATTAATTAAATTTTGAATTAAAAAAATTATTAATTACACTTCATAAATGGGGTTTGACCAAGGTGGTGTAAATAGCAAAATGAACCCCCATTTGGCTATTACACCACCTATGTAACTATTGAAAGTTTTACCTTTTTACAATTTCAAGAATACTTTATATCACTTTTGACCAAAGGGTGGTGCAAATAGTGACACCCTTGTACTTTGTACAAATGACACCTACTTCTGAGGGCCATAATTTGAAAGTTAGAAACACTTGTTTGTTGTATTAAAAATTGTGCAAACAACAAATGTGACAAGGAATTATGGACAGAGTGAGTATTTCACAACATTAATAAACTTATTACAATAATTTAACTTATAAAAAAAATATGTTAAGTTTTACTGTTTAATCAATATTGAATTATAGATTTAATTGATTGTAATATGAAATATTGTGATGAAATCATTTTTAGTATCAATTATAACCATTGAGCGAACTGAAATATGATTAAAAAATTGTTAACTGAAATTCTTCGATTCGATCGTGTAAACATAACAATTAAATTTTGTAAGAATGTTTAAATACATGAACATTTTGATCGTATTCAAATGTAAGAAATAATTAAATAATTCATTTTCTCAATTTTTATACTATATATATATATATATATATATATATATATATATATATATATATGTGTGTGTGTGTGTGTGTGTGTGTGTGTGTGTGTGTGTGTGTGTGTGTGTGTGTGTGTGTGTGTGTGTGTATATACACACACACACACACACACACACACACACATATATATATATATATATATATATATATATATAATATATATATATATATATATATATATATAAATAATATTAGGAGAGCAAATAAGTCAAGCCATTTGTGAGCTAGTCGTGAGCCACTCAGTCAAAGTTCGAGTTGAGTTCATTAAATTTCTAATTCAAGTCGAACTCGAGTCGACTCGTTACGTAATCGAACCGAACTCGAGTTTAAATATTTTTTTTAATCTCGGCTTGTAGAGCCGCTTGCGAGCATTATAGTAATAATAATAATAATAATAATAATAATAATAATAATAATAATAATAATAATAATAATAATAATAATAATAATAATAATAATAATAATAATAATAATAATAATATTATTATTATATTATTATTATTATTATTATTATTATTATTATTATTATTATTATTATTATTGAATTTTAAGCCTTTTACAATTAACAATCAAATTCAAATTCAAACCCTTGAAATCTAAATCTCAACTGCCTCATCCTGACTCCCGCCTCCCTCGCTTCCCTGCGACTTTGTGAGCAACCAACGAAGATTCCGACGATGACTCCTCTCCCCTACGAATTTGCGTCACCTACTTTGCGACGGAAAATTCCGTTGCAATTTTCCGTTGCCACCGCTCACGGACGGATTATTTCCGTCACGAAATGAAATACGACAAGCCTTGACACTACGGAATGGATTCCGTCGTGAAAATGTAAAATTCCGTCGCAAAACGTGATTTGCGACGGAATTTTGCATTTTCGCAACGGAATTTTTCCGTCGCGAATCGCAATTTTTCTTGTAGTGGGTATACTCCCAGGAAAGTTGGTCGAGACGAAGCTCGGTTAAAAACCAACTCCTTAGACAGAGTAGCGTCGCAAGGGGACTAGTAGCAACAAGACTTTTAAGCCAGGGCCATAGAACTAGTATTCCTCCCCAAGAAACTTCCCTAATTCATGTGTTCTCATTTTTGAAGTAAAATCGTTTGAGAGATCTAAAGAGTAGTTTCACCTATGGATAAGGCTTTGAATAGGGTAAACTACGAATTGTTTATGTACTTTATGTGCTTTAGGAACTTTATAAGAGCACGAATGGAGTAATAACTTAAGAGTGAGTAATAATATGCATAATCTAACCTAAAAGGCACTAATCCACTTAAAGGCACTAAATCATGCAAAGCATATAATTCAGACCTAAAAGGCTCTAAATTTTTCTTAATGAACATGCTTTTCTACAGGCATAATTATAACAGTCAAATAATTATTGCAATAAAGAGATAAATATCATGCTCAAATTATGCATATTACTCACAAAATACTGCAAAATTAAATTGTAACACTTAATACAATTTAAAATGAAAAACATTATTAAATTATAATTTAATAATAGACTTAATAAAAAGAAATTCAATTGGATAATTTAATTAGAAGAAGTCCAAATATGATGAAGATGTTAAACTGAAAGAATTGATGTAGTCCAAATATCAATTCAGGTTTGACCGAAGATCAAAACAGGCCCAGATTAAAAAAAATTATATGAGCCAGGTCTGGCCCAATTGGGCCAAACCCGGCCCAATGACTTAATCCATCATTCATCATCTTCTTCGTTAAAACTGCCCAGCAGCAGCGAACAGGAATAGTGCAGCGATGGAGACCTGCGACGCCCATGGAGGACAAACAGCAACCAAAAGGTCGCCGGCGTCACCAAAGGGAAAGCAGACAGTAGCCTTGTCGCCGGGAAACCCAGCGCCGCAGCCGCCAACCTAGCCTCCACGCAACACCGACGTCCGCCGCCGTCCGCTCACCACAGCGCGAACCAGCCACCGCACGCGATCCTTCCTAGTGCCGCAACGAAAACCCGTCCAGCGACGATATACAGAACACGACGTCTCTGAAGGTCGTGCCTTCGTTGTCGTTGATCCGCGCCGTCACCCGGAAACTCATTGTTAATGATGATGAAGGAGGACAACGCCGATCAAAAAAAAAATTGTTTTTTTTTTTTGTTCGTTGATTAATGATCGTTGTCTTCCATCAACAAAAGCTCCAGCATGTTCAAAAAAATGGCAAACGGAATTCAAAGAAATGACGTAGCAGCAGGGGATAAACTAAATTAAGTCCAATTGATTTTTTCTTTTTTTGTTGCTTAATGCGGAAAAAAAAAAAAAAAAAAAAAAAAAAAAAAAAAAAACTTAATTTCCAGCAGCCCGGAGTCCCGGACATACAATTGCATACAAATATTTAAATATGTATCTCAATTATACAATGTATACAACATATTCAAATATAATATATATGCAATAAAAAGAAAAACTAGGCAGAGATTATTATGGCGACTGATACCAACTGTTAGACTGAAATATCACATGCATCATTATAATATGTGATAATAGGATCGACTAACCTCCAGCCATAGTTCTTGATACGGTTGAGCGATCCGGACTGCTACAGAGATAACGAGTATTTTGTCTCTCACTTTACTCGGCTCTCTCTAGATGGTGTATGAGGTATGTAATGTGAACAGTGAGAGGACTAGTGACCTTATATAACCACTGGCCATCATTGTGGTTGATTGTCTTTAGGTCTCCTAAACCCTAACTAGACTCCTAATCATAATGGTAGTCTAGCTATTAGGTTATTAGTGTTGCACCACATATCAAATACTGAATATTATCATAACTTATCCTAATGTTATAATAATAGTAACGGATAAACGTTACAGAAAGGTCCATAAAGGAGCAAGCTAGCTTTAACTAGAAGTTAAAACAGTCACAGGAGAGGATGGAGATGAAGAAGCGGATGCCCATGCCGCTGAGAAAAGAGATGCCACGCTGAGTCCGATGACTTTTCAGGCAAGGGGACGAAGATGAAGATGATGGTGCATGAAAGGACGCAAATAGCCCTCCCAAGGAAATAAATATTATAAATTATTGAAAACTTATGATGGTAAAAGGAAATAAATATTATAAATTATTGAAAACTTCTTTGTAAATCACATTAGTGGTTGAAGTATATATCTTTTCTAATTCATTACAAATTAAAATTTTGAGACCTCATGGATTACTAACTCTTGAAATAGCAACATACAATTGACCATATGAGTTAGTGTTTGTCCTTGACTTTTATTGATGATCATTGCATACGAAAGTGTCAACGGGAATTGTCTTCTATTGAACTTGAATGAGAATCTTGGATCTGAATGAGTCATACTCAACCTAGGAATCAACACCTTACCGACATGGTAATTACCTGACATTATTTGGCTTCTACAATATGTTCTGATTATCTGGTAACTACTAACCTAGTACCATTGCATAAACCAAGTCAGTGATCTATATTCATCACTAACATCACATGTGACCCAATCTTTAATGTCAATGAGTGATTGGAATGCCAGAGGCTCGCAGTCCATTTAAGAGCTCATGTGTGTGAACATCTGCGAGAATCCCATTACTCGATTCAGTTCGACATACAGTATCGCAACTGAAGTAAGTCCTACTTTCCGCAACATGCATGTCACTCATGTAGTCATTAATTGAATTAAAAACACAAGTGTAGGTGCCAAGATTGCCTGACTTTCCAGAAAACTGTTATCACACTCTCCATTGTTAGACATGAGAAAATGGTCAAATAGGCCCCTAAACTTTATCCCAAAGGTCAATTAGCCCCTAAACTTTACAAAAGTGCAATTAAACTCCAAACATGTCAAATTGGGCCAATGAAGCCCAAAAACCGATAAATGACCTATTATTACAGGTCATTTCAATTCCAGCGACCGCGAAAAAATCCAGTCATCAGCGACAAAATCCGGTCGTCCGTTCGTCTTCCACTGGAGAAGGCGGCTGTCGGAGAAGACGACGACGGCCGAATTTTGTCGCCGGTGACTAGATTTTTTCACCGGTGGTCGGAATTCTTCGCTAGTGGCCGAAATCTGTCGCCGGAATTGAAATGACCGGTAATAACATGTCATTTATCAATTTTTGGCTTCATTGACCCAATTTGACATGTTTGAGGGTTTAATTGCACTTTTGTAAAGTTTAAGGGGCTAATTGACTTTTGAGATAAAGTTTAGGGGCCTATTTGACCATTTTCTCGTTAGACATCGGGAATGTACTCTCAACGATTGTGGCAATCGGATCATCAGTTGAGTGCAACAACAAATTTTGTGGAATATCAACTTCTGGACACTCATCATTTGAACATCCAACTATTCCATCACCAATTGAGGCAATCCAATTCGCAAACTGTTCAACTTCTTGTTGTTCAATGCCAGGTTCCATATTACTCAATCATAGATTCTTTATCAATCTTAAAACTCTAACAACTGTTCCAAAAATAAGATGAACTTATAGTTGCAGAAACAATGTCTCGCATTGTACCTCTTAGAACCACTGGTAATATAATATTTGTCTAAAATTTCCACCTAAAATCATTGTTTTCCACAGTCAATTTCCTCCTCAAGTATCTACCTTATTTACAAGTCCTTCGCGATCATTGGATAACCTTTCAAACAACAACCGATTTACAATTAACCGCGAAGAATCTAAAATTGGAATTGAAATTGGTGGAAAGTCCTTTAGTGACTTATTGTATTCTTGTAACAACTTTTCTAATTCTAAGAAACCAATTTTTTTCTTCTCAGCCTCTGTTAATATAAGATCTGGAAGCAAAAATAAGGTAAGAAATTGTTAATTGAAATTGTATCGTTTATATAACAAATTATAACATATAATTACAAAAAACGATAGTACTTGGTTGAAAAAGTAGCCTACATAGACTGAACTGTGCATCTTTAGCGTGATAATGTTACACATCATTCCATACATTTTCTTGCCTATTCAAGGAATTGTAGATCAACAATGTAACAAAAATTTTTCTCATGGAATGTGCGGATGACCACTAACTTGCCTCTTTTATGACATCAATGTATTCTTTATCATCATCTAACAATCCGCATGCATAACATGCATCTCTAAAAGTGATATACTCTACCCTAGCAAATGATCGGATATCTTTAAAACTTGTAGGCCCATGAACCATATTATGAAGGAATCTCAAATAATATAATTCACAGTGCCCGGTAGTACATAAAAGATACGACCAATTGAAAAAAAAAATCCAATTTTCCTTGGATGTCATTCCCGAATGTGTTTTTTCGAAACAAATTTATTGGGAATCTCAATGTATGTTAACCGCCTTGCTTCCACATATTTTTTGTTGGCTTCAAACCATCCATTGAACATACTTTAACCAATAATATGTCGACAGAGCACATCTTCAACACCATCATCATCGCAAAAAATAATGGATTGACAATCTACTAGATGAAAGCTTAACCTCTCAACTGCAGGTGTTCTGAATTGCACATCAAAGCTAAAATGACGCTATGTACATATTTATCTCATCTATGACTTTATTACCATATTCGTCAGTCATACTTTTATAAAATTCGGTTGTTACACGGTCATTCCCTTTATTCACACACTTGAATAAATATTTGATAGATCTTGATTGATTGCTGGTGAGCTGTCGTAGCTCTCAAATTAGAACCTTACAAACGTAGTAGCGGGAGTAAGGGTCGATCCCACGAGGAGTAACTAGTTTAACTTTTGTGCTCAAATTAAAGGTAGGGGGGGTTTGGAATATATCGAGAATAAAGATAAATTAAAAGAGAATTTAAATAAATAAGTAATTTAACTGAACGAATAAAGCAATGAAAATAATATATCGAAACACTTATAATAAGAAACCTTGGTTAGTAAAGATCCACCACCGGAATTCGACACTGATCATTGATTAATAAAGTAATTAATATGCAATTGAATATTTGTCGTGAAATTATTTCATTTCCGTTTTCCTTAGTTGTAGGTAAATAAAGCACAAGCGGTTTAATTACCCCTAACTACTAAATAACCTAAGACAAGCGCTATAGATTTAATTTAATAGCAGCAATAGAAACTAGGAAAACCGACAAACTAAATAACACAAGAACAAGCGGTTGCATTTAATTTAGAAAAATATTCTACCCGAGACCAATTATCACTAAGCCGTCAATAATTAACCTCAGTTGCTACTGAATATTAGAATAATTTGTAGCACAACATTATCTAATATAGCAAATAATTATATCAAATAAATAACTAGTAGGCTTCCCTAGCAATTAAATGATACAACTATTCAAATAATTTTAGCAGAATATTTAATACTCAAATGCATAGAAACATATATAATAAAAATAAATAAATAATCTTACAGCATAATCAATTCCGGGCATCAATTCACTAAGCCAAGCTAGAAGAAATTAGCCACGATGGACATTGGTAACAACTTTAAAGAATAATCGAGAGGGGAAGAATGAACATTTTACAATAGGAAACTCCTACTATTATAGCATTCTAAAAATAGGCCAAACTATTCTCTACCACACGTTCCCTATTTTTGTGCCTCACTACCAGTCTAGCTGCTTGGTCTTGGCATAATTGGCGCACTACATTTGACCTGCACAAAACAACATCTAAAGATTAGATTTATAATATATATATATATATATATATATATATATATATATATATATATATAAAATAATTATAATGCAGTACGTATTGTATATATACTATTATTATGCATCCTAGCTATATATTATATATTATATATATATTATATTATATTATATATTACTTTTAGTAGGACGCAATATATATATTTCACGTTTGAGTTTAGCGATGGAACTTGCGACGATCGTTTTTTCTGTCGCGGGAATATTTAAAATTTTAAGTGGGAAATTTTCAAAATTTAATATAAAATTTAAATTGCATATGAATTCATATGTTATAACTAAATTGCAAAACTTTTTAATTCGTCACATTTTACTTATTTTACTTTTTTTTTAATCAGTCCTGAAATGGGGTCTTCTTTCCAAAATTGAACATAACTATCATTTTATATTTTTCAATTTGCCCTTTTGACTTGACAATTAATGAGGTAAGTACAATTGTACTTAGGAAATTCTATTTGCACCACCCAGTTTGCTATTTACACCACCCCTTTAGATATAATAGCTTTATAGGTGGTGCAAATAGAAAAGTGTTATTTGCACCACCATCATTAAATGTGGTCAAAGATTAATATTTATTATCCTTTTTTCTTAACAATCAAAATATTAATTATTAAAAAAAAAATCTCGTCACCTTCTCCGGTGAGAAGGCAGCCCCTCGCCTTCTCACGGGAGAAGGTGACGGAGTCATCTTCTCTTCTTTTCTTTTTTTTTTTAAATTTATTTAATATTTGAATTAATTAAATTTTGAATTAAAAAAATTATTAATTACACTTCATAAATGGGGTTTGACCAAGGTGGTGTAAATAGCAAAATGAACCCCCATTTGGCTATTACACCACCTATGTAACTATTGAAAGTTTTACCTTTTTACAATTTCAAGAATACTTTATATCACTTTTGACCAAAGGGTGGTGCAAATAGTGACACCCTTGTACTTTGTACAAATGACACCTACTTCTGAGGGCCATAATTTGAAAGTTAGAAACACTTGTTTGTTGTATTAAAAATTGTGCAAACAACAAATGTGACAAGGAATTATGGACAGAGTGAGTATTTCACAACATTAATAAACTTATTACAATAATTTAACTTATAAAAAAAATATGTTAAGTTTTACTGTTTAATCAATATTGAATTATAGATTTAATTGATTGTAATATGAAATATTGTGATGAAATCATTTTTAGTATCAATTATAACCATTGAGCGAACTGAAATATGATTAAAAAATTGTTAACTGAAATTCTTCGATTCGATCGTGTAAACATAACAATTAAATTTTGTAAGAATGTTTAAATACATGAACATTTTGATCGTATTCAAATGTAAGAAATAATTAAATAATTCATTTTCTCAATTTTTATACTATATATATATATATATATATATATATATATATATATATATATATGTGTGTGTGTGTGTGTGTGTGTGTGTGTGTGTGTGTGTGTGTGTGTGTGTGTGTGTGTGTGTGTGTGTGTATATACACACACACACACACACACACACACACACATATATATATATATATATATATATATATATATATATATATATATATATATATATATATATATAAATAATATTAGGAGAGCAAATAAGTCAAGCCATTTGTGAGCTAGTCGTGAGCCACTCAGTCAAAGTTCGAGTTGAGTTCATTAAATTTCTAATTCAAGTCGAACTCGAGTCGACTCGTTACGTAATCGAACCGAACTCGAGTTTAAATATTTTTTTTAATCTCGGCTTGTAGAGCCGCTTGCGAGCATTATAGTAATAATAATAATAATAATAATAATAATAATAATAATAATAATAATAATAATAATAATAATAATAATAATAATAATAATAATAATAATAATAATAATAATAATAATATTATTATTATTATTATTATTATTATTATTATTATTATTATTATTATTATTATTATTATTATTATTGAATTTTAAGCCTTTTACAATTAACAATCAAATTCAAATTCAAACCCTTGAAATCTAAATCTCAACTGCCTCATCCTGACTCCCGCCTCCCTCGCTTCCCTGCGACTTTGTGAGCAACCAACGAAGATTCCGACGATGACTCCTCTCCCCTACGAATTTGCGTCACCTACTTTGCGACGGAAAATTCCGTTGCAATTTTCCGTTGCCACCGCTCACGACGGATTATTTCCGTCACGAAATGAAATACGACAAGCCTTGACACTACGGAATGGATTCCGTCGTGAAAATGTAAAATTCCGTCGCAAAACGTGATTTGCGACGGAATTTTGCATTTTCGCAACGGAATTTTTCCGTCGCGAATCGCAATTTTTCTTGTAGTGGGTATACTCCCAGGAAAGTTGGTCGAGACGAAGCTCGGTTAAAAACCAACTCCTTAGACAGAGTAGCGTCGCAAGGGGACTAGTAGCAACAAGACTTTTAAGCCAGGGCCATAGAACTAGTATTCCTCCCCAAGAAACTTCCCTAATTCATGTGTTCTCATTTTTGAAGTAAAATCGTTTGAGAGATCTAAAGAGTAGTTTCACCTATGGATAAGGCTTTGAATAGGGTAAACTACGAATTGTTTATGTACTTTATGTGCTTTAGGAACTTTATAAGAGCACGAATGGAGTAATAACTTAAGAGTGAGTAATAATATGCATAATCTAACCTAAAAGGCACTAATCCACTTAAAGGCACTAAATCATGCAAAGCATATAATTCAGACCTAAAAGGCTCTAAA